CCAATCCACTGTGCACCGGCCCCTTACGGATCCTCCTGCAGGTGGTGGGCCCATGGGAGGACGTCCCCACGTTGCTCGTTCAGGCTAAGCCCGGCCGGGCCCCGTGAGGGGAGGCCTGGCCACCAGGCACTTGCATTCGAGCCCCGACCCCAGGCCTGGCTCCAGGGTGGGGCCCCGGCTGCGCCATGCCGGGCGACGTCACGGTCCTTGGTCGAATTCTCAGAGTAAACTAATGACCAAAAAAGTACTGAACTGTAGTGTGCCTTAAGGTTCATTATGCAAGGTGCGCCAACATATATTGTGTTTACATAAGGTATACTCCATATACAGTATAAATAATTATATGTTTAGTATTTTAACTGTAGGTAGATCATTTTGACTTGGTCATTTGAAAAGTAGCTTGCAAGACGAAAAAGTGTGGGCACACCTGTCTTAGCCTTAGTTTGTTGCCCTGTGGACAGTGTTTTCTGCTGGAGCTTTGCCTCACATTCATGGCTGTTGCACATGTAATGTTCTACAGTACACACTCAAAGTTAGGATCTTTGGAGGTTAAACTACTTTTATATGTAGTGCACTTAAAAAAAATTAAAAACAAACAAACATTTATCCAGATATACTAAGTTAAACCTGAGAGAATCCAGTATTATGTCAGTTTTTAAGGAAAAACATGCTGACCTGTACATTTAGAGCCACTTGATTTGAACTCCTCACCCAATATAACACACGAAATATTATAGTTGAGCTACTGTATGTAGCCCTACGGTCAGTGTTCGCTTTCTTGATGTTACATGAGCTCATAGCTGCTTCTCGTGGTCTTCTTCAGCAAACACAGATGGCTCAGTTGCCAAGAAGAGCGAAGTGATGTCAGGTTTGCTCTACGCCCCCTGCCTCTCTCTCTTTCTTCTTTTCTGATTCTCTGTTACAGGTGCACGCAGCTGAGGTGCATCATCTCATCAGCGGCTTCCAAGGTACCACACAGCTGAGGCAGGTTACATATCACCGACGCCAGTACTTAAGACACTGGCGCACAATCGCTCATCGCCAGTACGTTGACGAATCCCTTCTCATCCTTCGGCCTCATCATACAAGAAGCTATGCTCGCTCAGCGACACTTTGAGTATCATGCTACTAAAAAGTAAGACTGTTTACTCCTCCTCACTCTTCTGCCTATACTCCTTGGTTTTCCGTCATTACTCCAGCGATCTGCACCTCTGACTCTCTCCGTTCAGCCTCTGCCTGAGTGGCCTCTTCATCTTCCTCGAGCCCAGCCATCTCCGCTCTACCCCACCTGAGTTCGCCAGCTATAATCACCTGTCCGAGCTTGTCTTCGTTTCCTCCATCTGCCCTGCATTGCTGCCTCCAGCTCCCCATCTGTGAACCCCTCGAGCTCTTCCTCCTCTGGCGGACATTTCCAGCATATTGACTGTTATCGCCATAACTTGTTTTCTTAGTGCAATAAAGTTTTTGATCTGCCATCTGGGTCCAGCCTGTTCGCTCACTCGCTTCCGTGAGTGCTCACTGTAGATCATTATGATAAATGATCTGTTCATAAATACACTGTGGTTTGTGTGTTCTAATGTGTTATACTTTAAATGTGTTGGGCTCTTTAATAGCAGACCCTTCCTCATGGGATCCACCTACCAGGAACTGATGAGCAGTAGGTCTGGGTGCATGTAACGTGTTGTGTCTATAACTATAATAATAAAATGTCATGTTCACCTATAGAAGTCATGAAGTTAATTCCCGAGACATACAACACTCACCATAACAAAGTTACTTTTCAGAATTTAATTAGCAAAATGCGGTATAATTATCAGTACTTCAACTTATAAGACAGTTAAAATTAGCTCCACTGTTAAGGGCAGCAACATTAAATGTGATGTACACAATAATAGATCAGAAATTAATAAAAATGCATTAATGTGAAATGTGCTAATCTGCATAATGAGCTCTTTTACGTTTAATACTTTAAGTATATTTTGATAATACTTTTGTACTTAAATGCATTTTGACAGCAGGACTGTTACTTGTGACAGAGTATTTTAAGTTGTTTCAACACTGTTATTACTACCTTTGAGTAAAGAATCAGAGTACTCCTTCCACCACTGTC